TGAACACACTATTCCCAATGCAGGCCAGGATGGAGTGGGCCTTCTTGGCCACCTCGGCACACTGCTGGCTCATATTCAGCCAATTGTCAACCGTCACACCCAGCTCCTTCTCCTCCAGGCAGCTCCAGCCATTCCTCTGCAAACCTGTAGTGTTGCATGGGGTTGTTGTGACACAAATCCAGGACCCTGCACTTGGCCTTGTTGAACCTCATGTAATTGGCCTCAACCCATTGATCCAGTCTGTCCAGGTCCCTCTGTAAAGCCTATCTACCCTCAGGCAGATCAACATTCCCTCCCAACTTAGTGTCATCTGCAAACTTACTGAGGGTGCACTCGATTCCCTCATCCATGTCATTGATAAAGATATTAAACAGAAGTGGCCCCGGTACTGAGCTCTGGGGAACACCATCTGTGACTGGCCACCAACTGGATTTAACACCATTCACCACAATGGCCAGGCCCATCTCTCTACAGGCACATGTCCCCACAGCCCAGCTTTGCCTTTGGCCTCTGCTCTCAAGAAGCCCAACCCATCTCCCCAGTATGCCAAGCATGCACTCAGGACACAAGTGCTTTTTGGGAACTCACATTTCTCAGCTGTGTAACCCCAGCCACTGATGTAGCAGTCTCTCAACTGTGATACTCTCAGTGAGACGTCAGGCACACAGGCAAGCTGTACGTAGTCGTTGCACTATACCGGCTGGTCCAGCTGCCTAGGAGTTACATTGCTTTTCTGGTCCAACACCAACACGGGCTGTTGCTGCACCCTTAAACACATTAATTAATTGTTTAATTTATATTAAATCCCACACTAATATTTAAGTGACCCATGAATCCAGTTGCTTATGGATATCAGTGGTCAAGAATTCATCTGAGGAACAGTAAAGCATTTTTAGGATAATCTAAGGGCATGTTAGGTAGAAGTACTTGGACAAAACTGCACAGCAACATGCTGGATGAATATAAACAGAAACAGCTCTGTAAGTCTTAAGAACTGGAAAACGGTCACGTAAAGGAGACTAGACAAATTATTCCAATACAGTATGGGTGAAAAAACAGTGCTAGGATAAAAATAGATCAGATGACCTAATCTGTGCTTTTGATCACTAAAGTCTGTGATTCTTATAGTCAAGGATAATACAAAGCAAAATCAACAATGAATTGCTGGCATGTACAAATGGTGTATAACAAAAACATTTAAGTTTCTTCATATACTTAATGCCTTTCCAGTTCTAATGTTAGAATATACCAAATGAGATAGTAGCAATCTCAATTTTTCCCAGAAATATGCTTATAATTTTCCATTACAATTTTTAATCAGATCTACTGTAAATCACAAAGATATTATGATATTTCATTTCAGCTAAATCAGAAAAGTGCTAAGTAATGATCCATAGGAAAGAAGCAAATTATATTTGGGAAAGCTCTAATATCAAATACAGGAGGACAGGTTCTTTTTATTTTTTTTACCAAGCCAGAGAAGGACAAAATCTCTGACAGAGTGAATGACAATAGAGAAAGTGAATTAGAAATGCTGCAAAGGAAAAAAAAAAGAAAGGGTACTGAAAGCACACAGAAAATGACAGTCAGAACTTTTAGCAAGAAGGGAAGCAAAATACCTAATTTAGCACAATCAATGAGTATAGATAATAATAGGGTAAGTATTAGAGAGGTGGTTGACTACAGCATACTCTATTACACTTTAAGCAAAAAAAGAAATTACATTAAGTTTTACAGTAGCTGTCATTAGATAGAGTGGTGCCTGATTTTCATTCCCTCATGATGCAGTGCTGTATCTTGACTAGGTAACACTATCATACAGCAAGGGAGACTTGAAACTCATACATGAACTATTTTTTTTACCAAGTCAGAAATGTTAAATGGAACAGAGAAGCAAAGGAAAATTCCCCTAGCTGCAGTTCAGGTCATGAACTGCAATGAATTTATCCCCTTCCAGTGCAAGGAAATCAGTGAAGGATCAAGATCTTGCATATAAACTGTACCATGTAAAAATGCATATGCACATATAGTAATCAAGAGATAGAGTTGCATAGATCACATTAGAAGAATGACTTTTCAAGTGCAGAAAGTATACAGTTCACTGGGCAACCAATGGATCACTTTCATGATATAAACCCCATAGATCCATAAGTACTATGGAAAACATCTGTTAAACAAATTTAAGCAATTAATGTCAAAAAAGTACATGTCAATTGGCCAAATCTGTACAGAGAGCATAAAAGTATATTCAATGCAGTTAAAAAAAAATCTTCTATGGATTCAACATATGAAAGTTAACTTCAGTTTTAGAACATCCTGTATTTTATCCCTTGTGATTTACCTATGAAACTTTAAGATCTGTACTGCTTTAAAACTTCTGCATTTATTTTGTTTAAATCATTCTCTTCCTTTTATAATGGAGAAAGAAACATGATGTTTCTCAAATTGCCTGTTTACTTGAATTCAGAATTTCACAATCACTCCCTAGAGTCACCAAATTACTGAAACAATTCCTTTCAACTATTTTTTCTTTTTTTCTTAAAATGGCATTAAATATTTTCATGCTTTTTGGGAGAAGAGCGAGCTCTATTTTTCATAACGGAAAAATGTGCAGGTTTTGTACAAAATGGAAGGCTAGGATAACCAAATTATTTTGAAAACAGCAAAATCACAGTAAGTAAAACTGAAAGATTCTTTTGCAAGGACACCCTGATCAAAATTCATGCTTCCTTTCCCAGAAATATTTCCTTTCTGGTTGGTGAGAAATTACCTTTATCAATGCAATTGATATATGGAATAGATATGGTTATATTTTATTGTTTTCACCCTTGCTATCATATAAACCATTTTTAATGAAGCAAGTGATTTCTAGACAGCCCTTTAACTCACCAGACAAAAGCAGGTAGCCAACAATAGAAAAGTTCAAATAGCAAGCTGTTTATTTTCAACAGAGGCCACTGAAGCTTACTAAGTTTACCAAGGCAAGATATGCTTTCTGAATGTCTTACTTCTAAATGAGAACATCTCTTTTCATAAAATTACGGATGGCTTACCAGTTATTGTAATTGAGGTAGACATGCACAGTTTCATTATTAAGTCCTTTTTTCTTTCCTACCTCTCCTTTCATTCATTCAGTTTAATGTTGTCATAGGAGCATCTGATCTGGCATTCAGCACAAGCAGTAGAGTCAAAATGAGCATCAAAGAAAAAGAAGGTTGTTCTTAAAGTAGAAAACAGAAATTTTCTCCCCAGAGTAAAACCAATTCTGAAGTTTTCTTCCTTTCTTCTTCCCTCTGTCTCTCTGCCCATTCATGAGAAATGCTAAATACACCATTAAAGTATTAAATTCAAATAAGTTTTGCCAGGAGGGTTGTGAAGCCTAAAAGCAATAACTGGTTTATCATTTTTTCATCTGTATTTTTTTTTAACAAATTGATGACTAGTTTATCCATTCAAAAATTAAAAAAAATAATAATTAAAATTACACCATAGTTCAGCCAGAGGGAATAGCTCTATTGCAGTGATTATTGAGCTGAATTTTATGTTTAGGAGGACAGAGCATCATGATGACAGTCCGTTCTGACCATAGAACTAAGGTTTCACTGCAAAGATTAAGTCAGATATTCCAGAGGCTGTACTGAAGCCATTGGTCTCTGTCTTTCCATGATACAAGGCAATCAGTATCAATGTTTAGGTTTCTTTTGTTTCTTCTTGTTTACCTAAGGATTCCATGTCCACAGCACTCTACTCACATTTAATGATTATACATTCTTCTCTGCTTGGATACTTGATATCCCTTTTAGGATAATGGATTTCTTGCAACCAACTCACATCAGACCTCCCAGACAGCTCCTTCTCAAATCTGCATTCTCTCAATTGTTTATTACGTTTGGTTAGAGCCCTCTAGCTTGTCTTTCATGGGATGAACTATTATACTTTCAGATTATTTATAACTATTATTCAAATAACATTTTCTTACCTTTACATTTTACTAAAGAAATATGCTTAAATAATAATTTGTAGTTTTAGAACTAAATTATCTTTTAATTTGCTAATTAATTCCTAAGGTATCTTGAGAAAGCAATAGTATATACAAGATTGTTTATTATTTTATATCTGCATTATAATAGGCAAAGATTTGTGCATGCCTAATGAAAATCACTTATAGTGTGATTACTGTGATTTACAGTCAAATGTTCAATTTTCACTAGAATTTAAGGAAGCTCCATATAGTTCTGATGTATTTACAAGGTATATACATGTGCCAAAATATTTTCATGTGATTTTGATCTCACAGGTTTGCCTTAATATCTGCCACTGCATGACAGAGACATTTCTGAAAATACTCTTTGAAGCTTAATTTGCACAATTTACAATCGCGAGATTTTAATTTTTCTGCTAATGGGCAAAGCCATTCAAAATCTCCAATTATAAGAGTTGGTCTAGATTCACTTGAAAAGCTCATCAAACTGGTGATATAAACTGGTGATAACTGGTCTTTTCTTCACAGTATTTAAAAGTGTGAAGATTAATTAAAAACAATTTCAAAGTGTGGACATCACATGTCTACAGACTGTACCTCTCTCAGTCCACAAATATGTATAAATAAGGAATAAATGGCTATGGTATCATATATTTGATTAATGCCAGTGCCAGCATAAGTGAATGCAGATTCATGATTAGTTCTGCAGCAACAAAAGCTGTTGAGTTGACAAATGTGATACCTAATTGAGATTGCTTTATTATTAAGTACATTATTTGTTATACTGTAATTCAATTGTTCCTGGATCTTCAACAAGCCCCATTGTGTTAAATCCTGACCTGATTTAGAGTGACTTTTAAAGTTAAAAGTAGACTTGAGAGCTGAATTTTTCATTTCGAAAGAGATATAGGAAAATATTCTGTTGTTCTTCACTGTGAGAAAAACAAAAAACCTAACCAGAAGTACTCAGTGTCAAAACTCTTAGTTATTCTCTCTCAATTTAAATTTCAATTTCTTAAAAAAAAAATAAAAGTTTTGATATAGACCTGTGTTTTACAAATATTGCAACTCATTATTCAATTTACATAATCAACTGATTATATAAGAAAGAAATTAATTATTTTTAAAGGTGCATAAAGGGGGCTTTGTTTGGTTGGTTTTTTTCTTTCTATGTTTAATGAGGGAATAAAATACTAGATATGTTGCTGTAGCTGGAGAAGTAATTTTCCTATAATATGTGAAAAAGGGAAGATATTTTAGTTTATTAATACTTACCTGTATGAAGTGTGTAGTAAATTTTGCTGGAATAAATCTGATATTTTCTATGTAATATACCAAGTACACCAATTGCTCAGAAAGAAAATTGGGTAAGAATTAGCTTATAAAATCAATCAGAGGTTAAAGTACAAATATCCATAGAATTATAAGATTACAAAGAACTAGAATCATGAAGACAAACATAAAATAGTATGTAACAAAGATGAGTGACAAAAATAACCTTATGATACTGTTAGAGGCTGCAAAAGAATATTGAGGTAGATATTTTCTATGTGCACTATACAGCAATGTCTTTTGGGACACCATAATAAAATAGAATAAGCGGTCATGAAAAGATTTGTGACTCTGTAAGCATATTTTCAGCAGGTAGAGAAATTCCATAGATCATTAATCTGTCATTAATGGAATAGATTGAAATATCTTCATTTTAACAGATTCCAGAATAGATGAGGGGAGAAGTCATCTTTGATGACTCAGCTAAGTATCATTGCTTTGATTCTTCTGAATGCATCTTATATCCTTCAAGGCTTATTAAGTGCCTCATCATGAGCTGAAACAGTTTCTAATACTATAGCATGATTTGTGTAGCCTGAAACACAACTCTAAATTGTGAAGTCTGTTGAAATGTGCATTAAAATGAAACTAGAACTCTATGAACCCCCTGAGAGGCTTTCTATTGGTTTCAGTGTGCTTCAGACTGGATACACAATTATCTCTGCATATGAACAGAGAATATGCTTTTACAACAGCATCATCACCATGAAGAAAGAATGGCCCAGAAGTTATAGAATAAGCTTAGGCTTCAATTGTCCTAACTTCTACTTCTTTTTCTTTTTCGTTACGTTTCTGTGTTACTTGAGGCTGGGGGGGAGGTTTATAGCAAAGGAGATCTGCTGCTGCTGGAGCTCCATAGTTACTTCATAGGTGCAGCAACTTTTCCCAGTAGCAAAGTTGACATGGTCTATTTATTTATGTATGCACTATTGCAGGCTAAAGCCCAGCTTGAAGAGAAAATGTTTGAATCATATGCATTGCCTGAGATGTACTGGATGTCTTCTCAGATGACAAAGACCAAGGAACCTGTTGTACAATATCCTGATCATCTAACCAGTAGTTCATTTGCCAAGCAATTAGAATACAACATTTGCCTGTAGCATAACCTGCATGAGACAACTTCTGTCATATGAAAGATGTACCTGCATGTTACATGACTTCAGTGGACATATACATTCACATCCTTTGGACTGATGTGCATGCAGCTGAAGCGGTAGGTGCAGTTGAGTAAATTAACAGATGCACTTCCAAATTGCCTTTGTAGATGTAATTTGTGTCAAGGAAAGAGTCAGGAGCTGAAGCTTGCTTTTTTTTCCTCATGTTGCCTTTAGGTTCACTTAAGCATGTGGATAAGTGTCCAGTTTGCTGGCTTTTCTGACTGCAGTGCCCTTAAGTGCCTAACTCTACCTGTGCATTGAATAGGCAACCGTAGTATTCTTAACACTTTGGCTGGACAGGGTCTAGACACCTCAGTCCTATACTGGTAATGTAATAGTTTTAGTAACTTCTTACTTTACAGGCATTCATTTAGGCAACATTTGTTAACACGAGGTGGTGAAATGGAAAATATATTTAGTACACCTGGCAGACATACTTTTATTCTTAAAGATTAAATGTTGGCTTCTAAGAACTAAGGAGAAAAAGAAAAAAAGAACAAGCGTTCAAATGAGCCTATGAGAGACAGAGATATAAGTTCTGTCACCAATAATTAATTTTAGAACACACCACCCACACAGAGCTCTGAATATTAACTTCCAAGATGCTCAGTTTACATTTATTGCTTGTGAAAAATAAAGCAGATACACAGACAAAAATAACCTCATTGTTCCATTGCAAGCTGTCAACGAAGTCAAAGCTTGATAGTGACATATAAGCCCAACTAACAAGAAAAATCAAACAGATTTTATATGTACAACATATAAGGAAGTCAACAACAGTTAGTCCAGGACTAACTGGAGTTAGTCCTACAGCACCTAAATTGAGCTGTTTAAGCTGCTGCTGCCAGATACATTCTTATCACAGCTATCATGTTTAATGCAATGAAGAAATCCAGTTTCAAACAGTTTGACAGGAAAATAGATTTATTATAACAGAGTAATTGGAGAGCAAACTCTTCAAATATAGTTCAGAATGAAACTTGCACTTTAGCTGATTTGTCAATAATTATAAAATTACTGATTAGTATAAGATGTGGGCTGGATCACTTTATTGCCTGAGCACCTGGTCTTAAAAAAAAAGAAAATAAAAAAGGAGTACATTTTTTTTCATATTCATCATACTTTTGACAGCCAAGATGGAGATTAATGAAAGGTTCACACAGGAATAGCTCTTTATGATTACAAGCAGCAAAACACAGAACAACACTTATGGAATAGATCGACTAGCTCATGTAACGGCAACTATGTTCCACAAGATCTACTTTACCAGCTAATTAAAGACCCACAGCAGTTTATAAAACAACAAATCAGATT